CACCCGCAGCCGCCGCCTGCGCCCCGCCCGCGTCGCCCTCGGGTTCCCCGCGAGGCCCGCACGTGCGCGGGCGCGTGCTGCTGCGGCGGGAAGCGCCTCCCCCCCTGAGAATGAGCCCAGCTGAATCGTTTTCGTAACAGGAAACTGTTTTCGCTGTTGCTCGCGACCACGCCCGGGACCGCCGCCAGCCCCACCCTGGTCTCGCCGTGTGAGAACATTCTCAGTTTGCGCCAGCGCGAATCGCGAAGCGACCAGCTCCCGCCACTCCTTCCCCCCCCCTGGCCGCGCCCGTTCACGCCAGGGAATAAAAAACTCTGAGTACCGAGACGATAAATCCTTGCAGTGAGCCCACGGAAAGCATCGAAAAGGGCAGGGCTGTTCAGCAGTCGCTTAGGACTATGCAATCAACACCAGTTAGAAAGGTTGTGGTGTTGTTTCTTCTTCGTTGGTCAGGACGCCTCTGGGGGCCGGACCTCCAGAGGGCCCCCCGGTGGCCCCGCCCCTCGTCCTCCGGCTTGCCGACTCGATGCTCCCCGCCCCCTTTCCCGTCCTCCAAGTCTCCTCCTCCTCCTCCTCCTCCTCCTCCTCCTCCTCCTCCTCCTCCTCTCCTCCTCCTCCCCCTCCTCCTCCCCTCCTCCTCCTCCCCCTCCTCCTCCTCCTCCTCCTCCTCCTCCTCTCCTCCTCCTCCTCCTCCTCCCCTCCTCCTCCTCCTCCTCCTCCTCCTGCTCCTCCTCCCCTCCTCCTCCTCCTCCGCCTCCTCCTCCTCTTCTCCTCCTCCTCCTCCTCCCTCCTCCTCCTCCTCCTCCTCCTTCCTCCTCCTCCTCCTCCTCCTCCTCCCTCCTCCTCCTCCTCCTCCTCCTCCTCCTCCTCCTCCTCCCTCCCCCCTCCTCCTCCTCCTCCTCCTTCTCACTCGGGTTCTTCTCTTCGTAGCGTTTGTCTCGGCACACGCCGCGAAGATACAGAGGAGAGAAACGAGGGAGCCGCGGCGCGCGCCCGAACGTCGAAGTCGCCGCCGTGGGCCAGTTGGGCAGCCGCGGCGGCGCGACGCAGCAGACGGCGCACTTCTGAACGCATGCGCTCAGCACAAACGGCTTACGTTAGGAGGCAACTACTGGGAGCTCTCAGGGGCTCTCATGACGCGGCCCAGTCGACGGGCCCTGGCGCGCAGGCCGAGGGGGCCCGCCTCGTGCCCGCGCCGCGCCGCAGAGGGCGGCGATCCACCCACGCACGAGCGGGCCGAGCGAGGCGAGCCGAAGCGAAGCGAAACCGAGGCAGAGCACACCGAGCCCCCCAATGGGAGCTCAGTATGCCCTGCGCAGTGCGTGGGAAGACCGCCCCCCCCACGCCCACTCAAGCGTTGCCCACTACGGCCTTCCAGCCTTCACGATGACGACCTTGCCGAAGAGCCTATGCTACTCAACCTTGGTCGCCCTCTTCCGGTGGGTCTTAACCATCACAACGCCCGGAATGACGAACTTACCGATCGCGCGAGACCTATGTTGCTTCACATCAGCAATTTGGCCCCTGCTGACTTTTTTCAAAATAATATATTGGGATGAAACGCTGCCGCTGGATATATCGAGCACAGTTGATCACAACACAAACGCTCCTGCGATCCCCGCCAAAATGGCAAGAAATGGTAAGCTCAGATCCGCATGGCTACATTGCAACCGAACCGCTTGACCACCATCTCGACCGAACTGGCGGAATTCGACCACGCGTCCGACAAAATACGTTCGACGAGGGATGCGCTGCACAATGCCCCGGCCACGGGCAGCGCTACGAGGGAAAGCGGGCCCTTCGATGTGTCACTTTCAGCGCCCGTGAAAGTGACACCTCCCAGGGCCCACTTAAAGAGCACCAGAAAGGCTCCAAGAAGGCCCCGAGAAGGCCCCAGGGCGGCACCAAGAGGGCTCCCAGAGGGACCCAAGAGAGGCCCCAAGAAGGGCCCAAGAGGGCCCTCCGCGGTGTCACTTTCAACGCCCGTGAAAATGACACCTCCCAGGGCCCACTTAGGGCCTCAGAAAAGCTCTAAGAAGGCCCCGAAAGGGCCATAGAGAGCCGCCCTGGGTTCAACTCCGCGTGGCGGAGTTGGAAGCGATAAGTTCAATACCCTACTGGAGGCCTCTTAGGGGCCCTAAGACGGCACTGAAGAACCCCATCGGGGCTTTTTCAAAGGCAGAGGAGGGCGCAAAAAGGGGCCTCAGTGAGCCCCTGGTCTAACTCCACCTGGCGGAATTGGAAGCGATATCGCCCGGCGCCTTCATGGAGCCGCTCGGAGCTTCCAAGACGGCTCCAGAAGGCCCCAGGAGGGCCCCAAGAGGATCGAACGACGATTCCTGGAAGTGCACCAGTGAGACCCTTGTTGACCTCCGCCTGGCGGAGTTGGAAGCGACAATTTCCAGTGCCCTCTTGGGGCCTCTGGGGGGCCCCTCAGAAAGCTTTGGGGAGCACAGTGAAGGCCTTCGCAGGGCCGCGTGAGAGCCGTACCAGGGCCGCATGTGTGCGCGGATGGGGGCGACGAGTGCTGACGCTGACGAATATGAGAATGATGAGGGCGATCAAGGCTGGCCCGAAACAAATCCTGGCGCCATTGCAGGCCGCCGATTATCGGCCACGCCGCCAGGACGACGCCAAGCAACAAAACGACACCAACCAACAAACCGACACCAACCAACAAACCAACAAATCGACACCGGCCAACAAAAGGACACCAAGCAACAAAACGACACCAAGCAACAAAACGACACCAACCAACGCACGAATCAACAAAACGGCACTGACCAACCAAACGACAAATCACTTCACGACACCAATGAACAACGCGAAATCCACCGACCGCCAACCAAGCATAAAATCAACCGACACAACGAAACCAACCCATAGAGCCAGACCAACCACTGGATTCGTGAGTCGGGGTAGTCATGGAAGTGAGCCGCTGCAGCCCGCGGAAGCCATTAACAGTGACCAGAGCACCGCAATGCAGCAACGTCCCCGGGCGGCGGCGGGAGTCTTGGATCTCCCGCGGGACTGGAGCGTAGCGAGTTCGTCCTGGGTCCGGTTTAGTGAAGTGAAGAATTTCGGGGTGCTTGCATGGCAAAAACCTTCACTTCACTAATCTGGGGCCCCTGGAGCCCCAGGGCGTTTCAGGTCCCCTCGCTGTCTGGGTAGTCCAGGGGGCGCAGTGGCGGCTTACCAGAGGCCCTGTTCCCTAGCCTCACTTGCTTTCACCCGTGGTGCTCGACGGCCGTCTCGGAGCTGTCTTGTGGCGGTCTGGGGCAATCCCGAAGCCTCTTGGAGCCATCCCAAGGCCCCAAGGCGCCACCAATGGGGGCCCCAAGAGAGCTCCCAGAGGGCCCCGAAAAGCCTACAACTGATTGCACGTTCGCGCGAATTCTTTGTACCAGTTTGGGGGGGTCCCTCTTGGGGCCCTCGGGGAACATTCTTGGGGCCCTCCGAGGGCCCACTGGGGCCCCGGGAAGGCCCGAAGAACGCTTCCGAGGGCCCCAAGAATGCTCCAAGAGGGCCCCAAGAGGACCCCCACAAGTGACAAAAACTATTTGCATGAGGGTGCAACTTACTCGGCGCCTCTTGGGGCTCTCTTGGAGCCGTGCTGGGCGCCACTCGTGGACGACATGGGCTGGGCGACGGCATGTGGACCATGTGGCTTGGGCCATCGGGCGTGCTCCCCAATGGGGCCACGAACCTTGTGAGCGTATGACGGAATGGGCTGGGCGGCGGCCTGTGGGCCCTGCCTGTGGGGCCGTCGGTGTAGCTCCCCGTGGGGCCACGAAGCGTGTGAAACGTATACCGAAATATGCTGGGCGGCGGCCTGGGAAACCTGCCGCTGGGACCTTTTTTTGGTGGAGCTGCCTATAGGGGCACGAAATGTTTGAGGGTGTCATCAATGTGGCCTGGGCGACGGCATGTGGACCTTGCCGCCGGGACCTCCGATGAGCTCCTCATGGGGACACGAAGCGTCTGAGGGGCGTGCCGACATGGGCTGGGCGGCGCACTAAGGACCCTGCCGATGGGGCCTTCGGTGGAGCACCTCACAAGGCCACGAGACTTGCGGGGGATGTGGCGAAGCAGAGACGCGGGGGAACAAGGGGGGTGTTTTGATGATGTTGATGAGGATGGTGGTGGTATTGATGATGGAGACGGCGAGAATGCTGATGATGCTGATGATGATGGTGATGGCGACGATGACGATGGACGATGACGACGGAGACACGCGGAGAGCAGGGGCAGATACGCGAAGAGGGAGGACGAGGGAGGGGGCCGGAAGGAATGACGCGGGGCGGTGTCTCTTCAAAACGAAGAACCAACACTGCATATGGTAGGAAATTTCTGGACGACCCCCCCCCGTGGCGCGGTCAATGTCCGCGACAGCATCGCTGGCACTACGAACGAAATGATCGAACTCTTCCTGCGACGTTACCCGCGGGGTGGATCAGCCAGGGATGGGGGTCGAAACCGCCCCAGCGCAAAGCAAATGTACAATCCTAAGAAACCCCAGCCCACATCAACCGATCCGCAGCAAGCACGCAAGCCTTTGACGACCCCAACGCACGTGACATCGCATAACGCGACGCGCCATCGAAAACGTTCGACGCGCGGCCTCGGAATGACATCGGGCTTCATGGAACGTCGAATGGAAAACATGAAAACCCGCCCTGTGGGCTCCGAGACCCAAAATTACTGATGTCAAGGATTTCGGCTCGTCGAACCGATGAACTCCGCCACTGTCGCTGCAAAATTCGGGAGAATGCTCAAGGCCTCGATCATCACAACACCCGGGATGACGAACTTACCGATGTACTTCGCACCTGACGTTGCAATGCTCGCAAGAGTGCTCAAGGCCGTGCTGAACTTCTCCGAGAAACGCCCACCATGGCTCCCGCGCAAAAGATTAAGGAGGATCCAACCCCATTTGGGGGCTGTTACGCCGGAGTCGGCCACGGATCAGGCGGGATTAATGAGTGGGCAAAATCAAACCCCCACCCCCGATCCCGTCACCCAGGGCGCCCTCCAGCAAAACGCGCGCAGGTCTCCAAGTGGACCTGCGCACGGGCGGCGGAAGAGAGCGAGGAGAAGGAGGGAGGTGACGGAGGAGAGCGAGGAGGAGGGAGTGGGGAGGGAAAGAGAGGTAGGAGGGCATTACTTCCTAGATCGCCTACCCATCCCTACCTGCGCCCGCCTCCGTTTTCCCGTGCTCCCTACCCCCGCCTCGTATGTGCTACTCCCTACCTCGTCCCCCCCCCCCTCTACCTGCCCCCTACCCCCGCAATGGCGATGGCGACAGCGGCGACGGCGGTGAGAGGTGGAGGGAGGGAGGTGTGGAAATGGCGCTCCCGCCACGAGACCAGTCGCCGCCCCCCACCGCGCGGGCGGCAGGGAAGCCAGAGGGATCGGGGTGCCCGACCACCGCGAGAGGAGGGGGGAGGGGTAGCGAGGGCGAACTGGGGCGAGGTGCGATTCGGCGGATGAGGAGAGCGAGGCAGGGAATGAGGGGCGGGCGAAGAGAGGAAGCCAGAGGGGCGGCATGGCAGCAAGGGGGGAAGAGGGAAGGCCAGGGGGGAGGGAGGGCAAGGAAGGAGGGAGAGTGGAGAAAAATGAGAGCAAGGAAGGAGGGGAGCGCGGAGATGGGGGGGAACGAAGGGGAGAGGTGAGGCGAGAGGCGGAGGAGGAGGGGCACCCCCATCCCGCCACGGCGCGCTCTCGGCGCGCTCTCGGCCTGGGCGCGGCGCGGCGCCTGGCCCGCAAGCTCAATTGATCTTGCGGCGCTTGCCACTCGGCGGCGGATCCTCCTCGACGCCGACGCCGACGACGTCGACGACGACGACGGCGACGTCGACGTCGACGTCGACCTCGACGTCGACGCGTCGTCGTCGTCGTCGGCGGTGGCGTCGACGGCGGGCGTCGTCGTCGTCGTCGTCGGCGCCGACGGCGACGTCCATGTCGGCGTCGGCGTCGTCGACGTCGTCGTCGGCGTCGTCGTCGGCATCGTCGACGCCGTCGCCGACGTCGACGTCGTCGTCGACGTCGCCAAAGTCGGCGTCGTCGTCGTCGTCGCCCTCGCTCGTCGTGGTCGTCGGCGTCGTCGGCGCCGTCGGCGTCGACGTCGTCGCCGCCGCCGTCGCCGTCGTCGGCGTCGTCGTCGTCGTCGTCGATGTCCTTGGGAGCGCTCGTCTGGGCTTGCAGCTTCCTCTTCTTGAGCGCCTCGGCCTGGTCGGAGAGCGCCCTGGCGATCTTGTCGTCGAGCTTCGCCTGCATGCCGTCCTTGATCCACTGGATGGACGCCTTCTCGAGCTCAATCACCGTCTGGACGTCGACCGCGAGGTCGTTGCACTGCATGAATTCGGGGAGCCACTCTGCGAAAAGGTTCTGCACCTGGAGCAGGAGGTTGTGCAGCGCGCAGAAGCGGTCGACGTCCGACATGAGGGACATCCCGTCGACAACCTGCAGCTCGAAGCGGTGGCGATCATTCGCCAGGAAGACGTGCGCGCCGCGGCCCGAGGGGAACTCTGCGCAGATCGCGCGATTGATCCAGTGGTGCCTCATGTGCCACCCCGTGAATGCACACGGCGACGTAGAGCCGTCGTCGGCACCCCACAGCATGAACTTCACCCAAGCTTTGGGATGGTCGTCGTTCGGAGGAACGGTGTAGCCCGAGCAGCCGCGGCCGCCGTCGAACATGCCGAGGTTGCCGTCATCCCACGACGGGCCGCGAACGGCGACGTAGCCGATGTCCCACGGCTCGGCCACGCGCAAGAGCCCCTTCGTGCGGAGCTCCTCTTTGGGGGATCCCGAACAAGGGGCGGACGGGGATGCCATGAGAAGCCTCCTCCACTCGCCGCGCACTCCCTCCGACGGTCTCCACCCCTGGGGCGGGGGGGGCAGCGTGGGCAATTGGGGGCGGCGCCGCGAGGAATTATGGCGAACGCCGCGAGGCCACGCCATCCGACGAGCACGATGCCGATCCACATCCCGACCGATAAGCGGCCCAAACACGCGGGACAATGGGTAGACCCTCGACATTGCACGGTGACGCGCTGGAGCTAGCCCCTCGCCCCCCCCCCCCCGCCTCTCGCCCCCGTCGACGTGATGCGAGGCCCCATCGAGCCCAGCCGACCCGCCTCCGAATGGAGTCGATCGGGATACCCCTCGGCCACGACCACGAGCCCCCATCCCCCTCAGGCGGGGTGGGGACAATATATCTGGAGGGGGCTGATCTTAAACGCGGGGCCCCGAAAAGATATACCTGCTAACGCCCGCGAGCCTGAGGAGTGGAGGGCGCCCAATGCCACGAAATGCAGCAACGAGTCTAGTCTAGCCAATGGGGTGACCATGAAGAGTTGAATCCCCTTGTGCACTGGTTCGCCAGAAGCGTCCTCGACGTCGAAGCGCTTCGACTGCCCGTCGACAAGCCCCGTCGGCCCTGAAGCTGACATTCCCTCCGCGGGGGGAGAGGGGGCGAGGAGCCAACGTGCGCCCGATCCCCTTGGGCACTCGAGGCTCTCGGGCAAGGCGCCACCTGCGCGCTGACACGGCCCCCCCCCCCGCCTGCCCCATTCCCCGACTCACATTTCCCCTCGCCCGCAGCATCGCCGATCCATCGGGGAACGCGCATCCAACGACCGCATCGGCACTTGCCAAACCTACCTGACATCCCGATGAGACGACTGGTATTGTTTTGCTCCGAGAGCGCAGCGAACGGCAGGTATGACCTGCCACCAAGAGTAATACTCAGCCACCCCTCGGCCGAGGAAGCAAACTGAACCCGCCGCATGGGAGGATGACCCTTCCCTGCAGTGCTCTGGCGAGGCGCGACGCCGTCCGAGGTGCAATCGAACGGTCCAAAGTGTCTACCCCCGTGCTCTCATGGATGGTCGGTAATGGCTCCGCCCTGCCCTCGGCTGGCCCCAGGACCCTAGTTCGATCGCACCGTTGCTTAAAATAAATCGCAGATGGGGCAGTGCGAGCGGGGGAGGCGGTGGGCCTCGAGGAAATTAGCCCATGCTTCTTGCATGCACGCACGGACGGCCTTCTGGGACGACCCCCCGTGCTGCGCCCACGTGTGCCTACCCCGCCGAAAGATGGACGGCTGGTTAAACAACCAGGCGCCCTCGCCGTTGGAGCGCCAGACGTAAGTGTCTGGAGGGAAGTAAGGCTTCACCTGCGCATGCGTCACGTCGTCCGCGGCGGACGGCGGCTCCTTCGGGAAGCGCAAACCGTGGAGCGGGTGCTGCCTGTTCCTGACGCTTCCCGCGGGCTTGCCGTGCGTCTTGCCCTGAGGGGCGCAAAATTCATTGAGAGAGCGGGGGGAGGGGCGGGCCCCCGCATCAACAAGCGGGCGGCGCGATCGACTCGAACCCGTGCCCCGACGCATGGTGACGACACGACCTGCGGCCGACTCCGCCCGCCACCCCTCGATCCCAGTCGACAGCCGCCAACGGCGGGGCCCCTTGCACGAAAACGACGCCCGCCCGCCGCGACAACAGGCCACCCCAACCCTACGGAGGTGCTCCCGATATGGATGACATCGCCAACATGTACCCAACAATCGCGACGAACCGCGACGGGGACAGCGGCCGCGGCGATGGCTCAAACGACAAGGGCGGGGACGACTGAGACAGCGACGGCGGGCGTGCGTCGACGCAGAGGCACGACGAACGACGGCGACAGCACGGGCGACGTCGGCTGCGGCACACGCGGCAGCAACGACCACGACCGACCGACCGACGTCGACGGCGGCGACGACCGCGGCGACGGCGACGATGACCTGCGGCAACGGGCAGGACGACGCTGACGGCGGCCACTGGAGAACGACGACGGCGACCACCACGGCGAGCGCGGCGACATTGCAAGCGAGAGGGAGGTTTGAGGATGGGGAATGCAAGGGTGACGGTAGCAAGGGGCACCGAGGGTGAGGCTGGCATACGGGGGAAGGAGCGGGGCGACGCTAAAGGCCGACGACCAATTTTGAGACCTATAGGGGAAGGAACACAAAAGCGGAGGCAATGTCACCCGATCCGCCCATCACCGCAGTGCCCCCCCCCCATGCTGACGACCCCTCATCTGCGAATGCAACCATCGCGGCAAATTTCGCTCGGGTGCGAGACAAAACGGGCTCTGATAAGCAACAAAACTGGGCGCGCGCTCCCACCCACCCCCCTCGAACGGGCCATGCATCGCAGCGCGGTGTCCGCCACCGTGCCTCGAGGCACGGAGTGGAGTGCCCCCACTCAAGCCCCCAAGGGTTCTCTACCCTGGACCATGCATTCTAATAGTCTAAGGGATGGGGCCCCAACTTCTCAAATTGCTCAGGCGCTCTCGCGCGCTCGTGGGCGCGCTCGGGCGCTCGTGGGGGCCCATGGGCGCCCTCGCGTGGATGTCCCAAGAGGCCAGAAGGCAAGGCGTGCCAAGCGGGCCCCAAGAAGCGCCCGAGGGGGCCCAAGAGGCCTCCCAGACGGCCCAATAACGCCCCAATGCGCCCAACATTGCCACAACACCGCCCACGAAGCTTCCAAGAGGCGTCGAGAGCGCCCCAAAATGCCTCCCAAGAGGGCCTCAAGAAGCCAAAGCCATTGATGTTCAACATTGTGCTTGTCGATGCTGTGAGGGTTCTCGCCTGTTCGAGCCCCCGAAGCTCCAAGAAGGACCACGAGGCCCCAGAGACCGCCCCAATGCGGCCCAAGAGGCGCCCAAGAGGGCCCCAAGGCCGCCCAGGAGGGCCCCACAATTGCCCAAGAGCCGCTCAAGACGGCCCAAGAGAGCCCCACGACGGCCCGAAGAGGGGCCACGGAGGGGGAACAGCACCGACAATTCGAAATTTCTGCTCCACGAAGCCCCCCAGGAAGTCCCAAAGGGGTCCCCAGGACAACCCAGGAGGCCCCCAAGAGGCCCCGCGAGGACCCCGAGAGGCAGAACAATAAACCCCAAGAGGCACCCAAACGGCCCCCCCAGGGGCTTCCAAACTGCCTCCGAGACGCCCCCGAGGGGCATCCCACGATACCCCAACGAACATCCAAGAGGCCTCTAACATACAACCCAAGCACGGTGGCGGGATGGGCCGAAGGCCAATACGTTGTACAGCTGGCCATTCGTGAGCCTGGCGCTGCAGAGGAAGCCAGCGCCAAGGCAACGCCTAGGCCGACTGCGCATCTCGGCAGTTGGGATAGCAAGCCAATGGCAACGTGCCCTACACGCACAACGTTCCTGGGCGGGCTGCCGAGACCGCACCTGGCCAGGGCCGCAAGGCCGTGCCTGGAACCACACATTGCCGCCACAAGATGGGCGGGTCGGCCGCTGCCGAGCTTCGCGGCACGAGCGGCCGCCGAAATGCCCAGCCGCCCGATCTGCGCGGGAGGGGGCAGAGGCCATCGCAAAACCACGTTGGAAGCAGTAGTAGGCACAGCGGGATAGTTGGCGAGGGAGACGCAACTGTAGAGACGCAGGGGCGGGCGAGCGATGGGGTTCGGGGCATGGCCAGGAGGCAAGAAGAGTAAGACTGGGAGTGGCAGCGCGAGACTGCCCGCCATCACGGGGCTGGCCCCCCCCGCCTCCTACCCGATCACGAGGCTCACCTGCTGGGCTCCGGCTCTCAGCCCGTGCTGCCATCATCGAGGTACATCGCGCGGGTCCGCTCGGACTGGCGGGGCGCCCAGCACGCCATTGGGAGTGGAATGCTCCGTCGAACCTGGCGAGCTGGAGGCGCCAGGTCGGCGGCCGCGCTGGCGACGGTAGTCGGGTCGCGACGGTGGGCGGGTTGCGGTCCTCCTTGGCCGACCCCATAGGCGGAGCCCATGACCTCCGAGCCCCGAGCCTCGTCGTCGCTGCTGTCCCCACTCAATGAATCGCCCCCGCCACGCACGGGCAATATAACGGCTGGGCGCTCTCCAGGATCAGCATCAGGTGAACGATAACGATGGTGCCTGCGCAACAGGGCGTCGACAAGGTCCCTGTGGAAGTGAATTTGCTCGACTGTGTGCTCCCAGAGCACGCGGTTCGTCCACTCGGCCCTGAGGCAACGCGCCTTGGACAGAGAAATGAGCGCCCGCGCCGCCGTCGAGCCCCCCCCCCGAGCCCCTGGACGAGCCCCTCCCGCCCCCGCCCCCGCCCGACCCGATTCTGCAGGCGGCGGTGGAGGAGCTCGATCGGGGAACTCGGATCGGAGGGGGCGCTCCACGGCGACGTCGGCGACCACTACCCCCCCCCCCCTCCATCGTCACCGCTCCGCGGCCCGCGGCCCACGGCCCGCCCAGCCTGACGGTCTACCATCGTTCCCTTCGCCGCCCCCCCCCCCCCCCCGACTGAAGCGCAAACCTTCCACTGCTCGCGCGTAGGCTCCGCCGCGGCGTCGGCGTGCCGATGCCGAAGGCGCGCCCTGTACCCGATGCCGCCTTGCGCGGGCGCCGCGGCCCTGAGCGGCGTTGGCGTCCTCGAGCGCCGCCGCGCCAGCGCTGGCGCGGCCCCGCCCGCCTGCGCCTGGGCGTTCCAGGGCACCATGGCCACCTCTCCGATATCAGACTGCGAGCGGCGCCCGCAAATCGAGGCGCGAGTCGAACCGAGACGGCCGCGGTGGCGGAAATTAAGCATATGGGTGGGGTGCTTAACAGACAGAGCGAGGTACGGGTGGTGAACGTTCTGGCGGGGCGAAGCCCTAAATGGAAGGGCCCAGGGGAGGGGCGAGGCGGCGGTGGATGGATGCAATGGCCAGCCCCCCCCCTCCCCGAGGCGGGCCAAGAGGCGCCCGAGACGAGTGAAGAAACGCCCAAGACGGCCCAATATACCCCCAAGAGGGGGGTTCCAAGAGGGCTCCAAGACGGCACAAGAACGCTCCAACAGACCCACAGATCGTCCAAGAGCGTTCCAAGATGGCCCCGCATGGCCGAACGACAGTCCAAGGGGGCCCCGAGACTGCCCGAGGGGCTTCCAAGGGGTTCCCGACGAGGGCACCAAGAGGCAAAACCATTGATTGCTCAATTGTGTTTGAAGGTTTTTGTGGTCCGCGCCTTTTCGGGCCAAGAACTGCCCCAAACGGCCCAAGAGGCTCCAACGATCGCCTCAATACTGCCCAAAAGCCCCCCCCCAGGCGGGGGCGCACTCCAGCCCCCGACACGAACCCACATGGGCATGGAACTCGGGCGCAACTTGCCCGATCTAACGCGCTACCAGGAGCGGTCCAAGGATGCGCGCTCTCCTCCGAGGCGGTCCTCAAGGTGGAGCGGGACAGTCAAAGGCGCCCTCCTCGTCCCAATGCAACTCGCAATACGCTCCAAGAGGGCCCCGCAAGAGATCGCGAGGTGCCGAAGATGGATGTGCCGAGAGGTCTGTCTATACAGACCCCCAGTTGAACGCATCCTGGCTCGTCTGAGAACCCTCTCGGCACCCTCTCGGGTCTCTCACGGCGCCATATCGCGACCCTGACGGGGCCCCGAAGAATGCCAAAAGGGGGGGGAGGTCGTTGAGGGGGGCGCCGCTTCTCCTTGACAGCTGTGGATTTGTCATTGCGTTCCCTTTCCCTGGCGCCCCCATCGGGGCCCCGTCGGGGCCCCCGGGCGGGCAACATGGCCCCCGCAGGGCCACGAGAATGCTGCGAGCGGGAACAAGTGCACCCCCAAGCTAGCCCCTCAGCCAACGCAAGCCCCCGCAACACATGCCCACCCGCCGCCCCCCAAGGCTAACCTCAGATGGCGTCCGCTGCGCATTCCCAAGGTGGGCGCGCAGCTGGGCATGCGCCCCCTCCCCCCCCCCCCTCTACGCATTGTAGCGCACTCAACGCCGCATCGGGGCACCCCCAGCGCTCCTGCGCGGGGTGGGAGGGGGGGGGGGTGCGCGAGGGCACCCTTTCAAGATTTGAAAAGGGTGTGCGAGCGACAAGACTGATGACACCCGTCCTCATAGCGCCGCGTGTTCGGGCGCTGGTCAAAGCAACTCGCCTGGGAATCGTTGCCCGTGGGCTGGCGGCGGTGCGAAAAGCGCCGGCACGGCGGCCTGCCAGGAACTGCGAGGGGGCGGAGGGGTGGGGGGCTGGGCGAGGCCCTTCGGGAAGACGGGGGGCGGGGGACATCATGGGGGCGATGCGCGAGGTGCCGCGACGCGGGGGGATCGCAACGCATGACAGCGAGCGGTGGTGCAGGGGCGTGGGCGACAAGGAGGGATACGGCCCGCGCGCGGGCGAAAACGCGCGATCCTTGAAGCGGTCATACTCGCTCAGGAACTCAGACCGCGACACCTTGATCGACTTGGCGGACCTGATATCGTCGGGAACCTCGTCTGCCGTAGACTTGTCGAACATGTCCGTCACCCATTCGACTCCGAGCAGGTCCTCGAGCCCATCGACATCGTCAAAGTTCGCCATGCGGGCCGCCAAGACCTTGTCGCTCTGCTCGGGGCCGCAACCAGGCCAGATGTTCTCGGCCATCGACTGGAGGAGGCCAGCCATCGTCGTGGACGAGTACTGTCACTCCATGGCGTCGCACACGTCCTTCAGGTAGCTCGCGCCCAAGGGGAAGAACCCCTGTTCGGCCACGCACTTCATCAAAGGCTGGGGGGGGGGGGGATCATTGACACTCTCACCATCTTGTTCCCGTACTCGCGGCTAGCCTCGGGCGGCAACATTCCGCCCTCTCCGCCCCCGCTTCATCTCATCCGTGCGCTCCTCGCCCTTCGCCCTCCTTCATAGGCCACCGATCCCCCTGCCCCCCATTCCAACCTGCCTTGCCCCCCGACCCCACCCCCCTCTCTTCGCCCCAGAACCGAGTTCCCACCTCACCCTGATCCTCCGCTCTCCACCACCACCACCACCACCACCACCACCACCCCGCCCCTCCCCCCGCACGCACCTCCAACCGATCGCGCCGCCCTCCTGCGTCTCCCTCATCCACCCCCCCATACTCCGCCCCCCCCCCCGCCACACCTTAAGAAACGTCTCCCAAGCCTTCACGTTGACCTCGGTGGCCCCCGTCGTCGCGCCCGCGAGCTGGTGGAGCTCGCGCTCCACCGCCTGGCGAAGCGGCGAGTCGAGGCGAATAGGTGCTGCGCTCCACCCGGACGGGTCAACGATCACGAGTAGCTTCATCTCCGACTTCGCGTCGATGATGAAAATGTCGTCACGGGCGCCGTCGGGCACCAGCGGCCATGTCACGGCCAAGCTCCCCTCCAACGTCCCCATGCCAAGATGCCAGGCCCTGTCCCTCTCGGAGGTGTGCTGGATGGCCACGCCCTGGTGCACCAAGCGGCAGAAGAACTTCTTGTCGACGGACCCCATCTTGTGCTGCTGCTTGCACTGTCGCAAGACCTCGATGTCCGCGTGGGGCGCAAACATGCCCCGTGACCCTGGGCTGTACCATGATGGTTCTCCAAACCCCGCCACCTCCCACAGCTTGAGCGCCTTCGTCTGGTCGTCGAGGTGTCTCTGCTGCAACCTCGGCTTGAACGTGGATGGCGCGAACGCGCTGTTCCTCGCAACCGACTCCGTGCCAACCCCGATGGGCTTGAAGTTGTGGACCGATTCGATCACCTTCGCGTCGATGCAAGTGGCCATCGTGGCGGGAGCGCTGGACATGGTGTTCTTCTGGCAGTCCACTCTGCCCTTGGCCTTGTTGAAGCAATCCTCGACGATTTGGCTCCCGATGATGCGCGCGCACTTGGCCTTGATATGCTCCAGGAGCCTGTGCGGCGCGGGCGGTGCGAGCGCAGCCGCGGCCCCCGACCCTCGCCCGTCCGAGCCCGAAATCGCGCCACCCACCCGCGCGACCTCCAACCATGGCCCAAGCCCGACACTGCCCACCCGCCCCGCCCACCGCCGAACCTAACCCCCTTCCGCCTAGCCGCTGTGCCTCCCCGCCCACCCCAACAACTGCTACCTGCCACCCATCGGCGCATCCGCGCCCTGAGGCGGAGGGCGGAGGGGGGGGGGGGGGCGAATGGGCGACGGCGGCGACGAGGGCGACGGACGAGCAAAGCGGAACGAGCCTCTGCGTCGGCGTCCAATCCTCGGCGTCTAGCACGGCCTTCAAGTGCTTTACGCTCATCTTCATGAAGAGGCTCCTGGACCTCATCTGCTCGGCACCTGGGAAGGCCGCATCCTTCAGCTCGTCGAACAGAGCGAGGTCGCCCTTGAACTCCCGCAAGAACTTGGGGCGGAGCTTCGGGCATAGCAACATCACCTGGCGCCTTGGGTACCCATGAGTAAAGGGCATGCCGCGCCTCGCGTGCTCGACGCACAACGCCGACACCAACGACAACATCCTGTTCGCCGCGACATCCGAGCGCACGACCCGCGGATGGTCGAGGAAGAGCTGCTGGGTCGGCCACGTGGTCTCGATGCCCATCTCGGCGTAGAGCTGTCTGGTGTTCAATACCTGAACGCTCAGCCTCATGGGCATGTGAATCCCCCCGCGCAGCATGTTGAGCTCCCAAGGGATGGTGGCATCCTGCGAACGCAGGCCAGCGTTCTGCCTCGGAGCGGGGACAGCAGGGGGGTAGCAAGGATGGGGCTGGTGAGCAGCACTGCGCCAGGCCCGCTGCAAGAACGAAGCCGCGACAGGCCAGGCACGATGACGATGGCCCGAGGGGAACCACGCTGGGGGCACCATGATGACAATGCGACGCAGTCAGAGCCACGACGACGAAGCCACGAAGACGACGACACCACCGATGCCCAGAACCTCCCCCCCCATCGGGGGCGGGGCGCCAACGTCGACCCCAGAACAGAGGGTCTCCCCCCCCACGCGTCGTCGTCACCTCCCCACCCCCCCTCAAAAAAAAAAAAACTCCCCGCATCCTCCGCCACGCCCTCCCCATCGTAATTGGTCGCGTCTATGTGGGCCACGGATGCGCGCCAATGGAGGCACGCGGCCAATGGTTTCCCAAACAAAAAACATATGGGGCCCCCGCTGGCCTCACCTGAAAATAAACGATGACCCACACATTCGGCACGCATGGCGGGGGCACCGCCGTGGCGTTGCGCGCGAGGTGGGGCACGCGGGGCCAGCGAGCGGGCCAAATCCCTCAATCGGGCACCAACGGGGCCGACTTGCAAGCCCAAGCGGGCCTCCCGTGAAACTCAGCCGTGCTCCCCAGCACATTCACGAGCATCTTCATGATGTGGTAGTTGCTGGCGTCGCCGTAGAGGTAGGCCGCGCGGTCCAGCTGGTTGGCGCACTGCTCCCCGAAGGACATAGCCGACGCCTGCCTGAGCGTCAGCTTGCTGGCGCCCTCGGGCGCGGCGACCTCGGGCGCGGGAGGCGGCGGCGGAGGCTTCTTGCGATCCGCGCCCTTGAAGCCCAAGCTGAGCGCCGCAACGTTGGTCAGGTACGTTTTCAACCCGAAGAGCTCGATGCTTTTCCCCGCTGCTTGCACGGGCTGCTGGAACTTCCCCATGTGGATACGCTCACCCTTGCTCGTCAACAGCTTGTGGGTGTGGAGCCCGCGCCAGAAGCGCTCCACGGCGTCGTCGGTGAAGAGGTCGACCTGGGGGAGGGAGGAGGGGGAGTGGTGGGGTGATTGGGGGGGAGGCAGCGGGCGCGCCAGATGCCGCCGAGAAAGGGGCGCAGATGCGGCGATCCCGCGGGGCGCTTCGGAGGAGCCTGCTTGGGGTGGCTGGTGGCGCCATGCGACCCCGCCCCCAGAATGAAACGGGGCCGCCGTGGGTGACGACCATCCCTCCGCCAGGGGCCCTTGCGCGGCCGCCGAGAAGGGCCCTCGGCACTCCAACGGGCGAGCAGGATGACCATCGACAGCCCCAGGGCGGCCCCAGGAACAGCAGCCCGACTCTCAGAACACCGAGCCCCCCCTGACACGTCTAGCTTGCGTTGGCCAAAACTGGCGCAACGAACTGGATCGGCAATCCTCGCTAGGCCGCAGGAACCCCCGCACGGGGCCGCCCGCAACCGAGAATGGGGGACTCGCAAATGCTCAGGAGTGCCAAATGCAGCCCCAAGGGGACTCGAATACAGAAAAACACGAACATACATGTATACGCCCAAGCGGCACTTATCAAACAACCCGCCCGCCTGGGCAACGCACGCGCAAGGCAGTGCCGCGCGCGCGGGGCGGGGGGGGGGGGGGGGGGGAGCGAGCAACCCAAACAAGTGTCATCGCTCCTCATCGGGCCCCCGCGGGGGAGGGGGGGGGGGGTGGCGAACCCTTTCGAAACCCGCCAGCGCGCCCATCTCGGCAGCGTGCGTTTCGAATGCCCCCCCCCCCCCCGAGGCCCTGAAGGGATGGCAGCAGAAGGGCCCCGCCAAGCCACGCGGAGGGCGCGGGCGTGCGAATGTGGCGGGGGCCCGATATGGACCCTCTGACGGGGATCGAGGCGTCTGCATCGGCGCACGCGTCTGGGCGGGGGGGGGCGGGGGGTGGGGGGGGAGGGCGGGGGAGCGGGCCGCTATCGGCCCGCTCGCCGCACCCCCGCCTTGATATCTAGTCGCCCCCTCTCCCCCCGCACCACCCCCCACCCCCAACTCCCCAGCCACGTGCCTCGTCGAATCATTTCCCTAAGCCCATCCCCCCCCCCCCCCCCCCCCCCCCCGCCGACGCGAACGCTCGCCGCCCTTCCACGGCCCGCGGCGCCGTCGCAACCGCCACCCGCACTGCAAGCCCTGCCCACCCACCCGCCCTTGCCCCCGCCCCGCGCTCCGCCCCCTGCGACCCCGAACGCCATGCGCCTGAGCTCCCGCCCACCCCGCCACCCGCAAACATAGTAAACGGCGGTCCTGCTTCATTTGTTTCCGCATCCACGGGAGGTATAGCTGGAAGAGGTGGTCGTTGCGGGCTGAGACGCACGCGTCCTGGTGCTGTCGAACAGTCTCCTGAATTTGCGCCAGCCGAGGGGGGGGCAACGTGCCCCCGTACACGCAGTTCGCCGCCGCGCACATTATGACGAGGAAGCGGTACAGGCCAGAGTTCCTGGGCGGGCTCGATATCGCAAACGGCGCGGCAACGCGCTGGGGCCAAGGGGGCAGCCGCCCGCCACGAGCAAACCCTGGTCACGCGACCGAAGCACGGGGCGACGCTGCGCCCGCCACGTGGTGAGCAATAGCACCTTAACCCCAATAAGATTGCGAGGGCCCCCATCTACGGAAATGGAGCCCGTGTCTCCTCAGGGAGCCCTTAGTCGTATTGCTCAGCATATGGGATATATCATAATCTACTTGAGTGTTCAGGTCGGGGACCCCGTAGGATAGCCAATGATCGAGGCAGCTCATGTCGGGGCCAGCGTCTGGAGACAACGTGAGAAGAGGCCAGAGGTAGGGGTCTCCCCAGTAGCGCCCAGTATCCGCCGAACGGGGGATCTTAAAATTGGAAAGCTGGGTGCCGCAGGAGCCGCGCAGGATATTGTCAAGCATCATGACCATCTGGAAAGTTTTGACCCTCTTGCGGCGCTCCGGGGCAGGCGCCGCATCGCCCTGTTCAATG